ATATATATATATATATATATATATATATATATATATATATATATATATATATATATATATATATATATATATATATATATATATACACTTGCATCTGCCATTAAGAATACGATATGTGTATGTATTGTTTAAATGATCAGCTACTAGCACTATTATTTTTATATTTATTATTATATAAAACGTGCGTCAGAGTGGTAGAGACGGAAAACTCGGACTACATTACAACTGTGCTTGTAACTCTAGCTATGTTTAACCTACTTCGTGGCAATTTCCTTTTCCCATTATCCTCTCTTCAACGTACTCGACTTATTGTTAGCAATGTAAATGTTTCTCATAATGATCTGCGAAAAAATTGATACCACTCGAGACGATAAACCTCATTGAGATCGTTTGACGCGCCTGGATCAATTTCTACTTCTCCGGTAGATGGAGCCATCAAAACTTAAGACTTTGAATAGAACTTCACTCATGCCTAGCAACCACGCTCAGATTTGTTTACATATGGTGGCAAAATCTAAAGACGGCGACCCGTTTCCTGTAGACAAGTTAGCAGTAAGATATGTAGTCACTGTCGAGGATATTCCAGCATTTTGAGAAAACATGGAATGTGGTCTAATAAGTGACGGTAGGCTTATATTTCTCAGATTATGATTAATGCATTTAAAGATTAATGCCTCAGTCAATGGGGACGTTAACGATTAACCTGTGGAGCCCTGAAGAGCCCATAGCGCTGGTATACTGCTTAGTCCCCTTGCTTGCCTGGCGCAAGCTGGTGCAAGCTTGCAATATTGTTTTCTCAAGTTTGTACACTCCGAGCCTAAGGCTTCGTTCACATGCAATGTCTATTTTCTAAATTCTATTTTCTANGTCTCTCTCTCTCTCTCTCTCTCTCTCTCTCTCTCTCTCTCTCTCTATATATATATATATATATATATATATATATATATATATATATATATATATATATATATATATATACTTGCATCTGCCATTAAGAATACGATATGTGTATGTATTGTTTAAATGATCAGCTACTAGCACTATTATTTTTATATTTATTATTATATAAAACGTGCGTCAGAGTGGTAGAGACGGAAAACTCGGACTACATTACAACTGTGCTTGTAACTCTAGCTATGTTTAACCTACTTCGTGGCAATTTCCTTTTCCCATTATCCTCTCTTCAACGTACTCGACTTATTGTTAGCAATGTAAATGTTTCTCATAATGATCTGCGAAAAAATTGATACCACTCGAGACGATAAACCTCATTGAGATCGTTTGACGCGCCTGGATCAATTTCTACTTCGCCGGTAGATGGAGCCATCAAAACTTAAGACTTTGAATAGAACTTCACTCATGCCTAGCAACCACGCTCAGATTTGTTTACATATGGTGGCAAAATCTAAAGACGGCGACCCGTTTCCTGTAGACAAGTTAGCAGTAAGATATGTAGTCACTGTCGAGGATATGCCAGCATTTTGAGAAAACATGGAATGTGGTCTAATAAGTGACGGTAGGCTTATATTTCTCAGATTACGATTAATGCATTTAAAGATTAATGCCTCAGTCAATGGGGACGTTAACGATTAACCTGTGGAGCCCTGCAGAGCCCATAGCGCTGGCATACTGCTTAGCCCCTTGCTTGCCTGGCGCAAGCTGGTGCAAGCTTGCAATATTGTTTTCTCAAGTCTGTACACTGTGAGCCTAAATACCAACTAGATCGTCTACTGAAAGTTGCCTCTTTATTTTTCTCCGCTGGCTCTGCTGGGTAAAGATGAGAAGATCAATATTGAGATCAAGATTAATAACGTCTCGACACCTATTGAACTAAACGCCTCCGGCTAGGTTGACCGTATCGTAACGATCCGGTCACACCGACACGTGAAATCCTGAAGGAATCGGCTTTTCTTTAGCATTTTTAAATGGCCAAAAATCTTTTGCTCTGTATATTATTCGTGGAAATTTCTAACAGTGGTAATCACTTCCACAAAGGAGAGTAGGGAAACGCTACAGTGACAATATTATAACTGAGCCAACTTCGTTGTACCGAGGCCGTCTTGTGAACGTGTGCGCATAAGAGAGAGAGAGAGAGAGAGAGAGAGAGAGAGAGCAAAATGGAAAATGATTTTTTATGTTAGTTGATGAGCAGTGATCATGGCGTATCTTAAACGCTAATTTCCCTGGTTGCAGGTGATGCCGTGTTTAAGGAACGCTACTATGGCGTCCTCCCCGAACCTACTTCGGAACTCAGCGTGGATGAGAAGAGGGCGCTAGAGGAACCGTTCACGTACCCCGAGTTGACAGCAAACGAGAAGTCAAAAGTCGCGAAACTACTGACAGGGAACCTGCCACTGGACGAACTTCCAGCGTCGCCTAAGCAAGCAGTCAGGGTGTACATGAACGCACCCCTTATTGGTGAGTTGAACTGTGCAATAAGAATGCAAATATACGTACGTAAATATAGTGCTGCGGAATGTAAACGCGACTGTTATCACGTGTATTTAATTTGTATTCAGGTTAAATCTATGGGTGACTTTTAACCCAGGAGTTACCAGTCAGTTGACTACACATCCTGACTGTCCAACTGAGTGATGTATTTGAGAAACGTGAGGATTACCAGCAGGCGATATAGCAGAGGGCGCGTTTATGGCATTATCTACTAATTTTACAACTTATAATCACATATAATCATATCAAAAGCGTTTCTTCGTATTTGGCCCTAAGTTGAAACAATAAACGGGATCGGGTAATAGGAAAGGGTGGGGATGGTATTGAATGAAAGAGATCAGAGTTGAGTTGAATATGACCATCCATCTAGCTAGAGACATACATGTATATGTGAATATCTGTAAAATATATATCACTCACCCTAGTAGAGGGTAAAAGAGATCCATGTATATCTCTAAAGCGGGGTAAAATTCTTTGTCGGGGATAACAGTCTACAAACCGATCTTTTTACCCGTAATTTTTCAAAGAATGTAAACAACACCCAATTTTTTTTGTTAATTTTGTATTTCATTTCTCTCAGATACCATCCAAGAACGCAGCGCACTCATCCAGAAAATTTACTCCAAACTCAAAAGTTTTTGCAGGGACAAACATGGTGTGGAGTTTCAGGTAGGTTTTGTCTAGGATAAAATCACTTACGCCAGTTTTATCAGGCCGTATTATTCAGTTAAACATCCGTTATGACAACCTGTAATATTAGCCTAAGTGCGATCTAATTTAATACTGAATGCGTTTTCACTGGAATTGATATATATTATTATAAGTTATTGAACGTTGATAGTATTTATCTATTTCTTTATTCTGATGAGGATGATGGTGATTATGGACCTTCCTTTATGAACCCTCTTGAAAATGCTGCTGTAAAGCTGATAAGTTTATTATTAAAAATTGCAGATGGTTGACTTGAACTGGGGTGTCCTTCCACCGGTCAGAGACAATGACCACTCAATGCTAGACACTTACCTACGCGAAGTCCAGTACTGCAGGAGCCATTCTGTGGGACCAAGTTTAGTGGTAGGTGCATAGTTAGAAACCATTAAATAGATGGTAAAAGATGTCATTTAAACATTCAGAAATAAAATAAAACTAGATTTCATCTGATTAGTAGTACCATATCATGACTAATAAGGCGTGACTGGATCCAGGACCCCTCCCTTATATATGCTTTTTTTCTTCGTCGCTATCCTTTTTTCTTCGTCGCCCCCTCAACTTCCATATAGGGGAGAAGACACTCTTTTGGTGCCTTTGATCGACAGATGAACAGATTTTGTATCACGAATAAACATACCGTATCAGACTTCTTTCAAATATGACGAGATAGATTTAAAACATCTCGAATTAAAGAAAAAGAAAAACCAAGCCTTCAAAATTCTGCATGTTATATTTTCCAGTCAATTCTAGGCCAGAAGTACGGCGATCAGCAAGTTCCCGCGTGGATTCTCACTAGTGACTACAAAGCCATCTTGAAGCTGCTCGAGGGTGCCGGAAAGGACGTGTCACTGCTTCATAAATGGTATTGGGAGGACAGCAACAGGCAACCTCCCGTCTACATACTACAGCCTGTTGATGAAGTTTCTTGGCGTCATACGGATTTAGGTATGTGTATTACATTGCATTTTACTACACAAAAAATTATTGTAGTGTGTGTCGAAAGTGGAAGTTTGTAGTTCTATGTTTACTGGATGAAAAAGTTGTACTGTCCCCTGTAAAATTTGCAGTAATTAAACAGCACTTATAATTTTGTTGAGTAAAAAGCATATGTGAATGAGATTTTAAAAAGTGGATATTTATATTTTAGGTATTCCAGCAGAGTCTTGGGTCGACACGGAGAAAAAGCTTCTGGTGCTATTTAACACTGCCCTGGCACTGTACGCCAAACACCTGACATCACAGTCGAATGAGACGAACGGTCTGCTACATCAACAGTTTCAAAATCGGCTTAAATTTTCAGGTTGGTCGAAGGGAACATTGCTGTTGTTGTTTTTTTTTTCATCTATTCATTATTTTTGTTTGTGTTGTTACAACGTTAGCAGTTTTCAACTGTGTATTTGAAGTGTTGGATGTTTTTCTTCCATTTTTCTTTCTTTCATATTTTTGATCCAATTATTTATTTATTTATTCATGCACTTTGAAAAGATAGAGGAAAAATAAGTATTAAACGTGGTATATTTCTTTTTTTTAGTTGTGGAGCAGGAAATGCGCGGTGGAGTGGCAGACAATGATATTGCAGACGACAATCATAGGATATGTTACATTCGAACAATAGCAGATCTTCACAAAAATCTGGACAAGAAAAGGGCGTACCGCTATATCGACTTCAAAAAAGGTACAAAAGGACTATCCAATTCAGCAACAGATGCCACAAATAAACTCAAATTGCTTATCCGTAATAATGTCAATGACAAACATCTCGCTGAATTCACTGTGAAATGGAGCGAGCCTCACGGTATAGATCCCGCCGACCATGCCGAATATCTAGAACACTTCTGTAACGACTTCTATTATCGTATGGTTAAATTGATTGACGCAAACATGGATGCACGGCAAGTGATGGCAAGTGACCATGTATATGAAGAAGCCGCTCGCCATTGGCGTCTTGCTAAAGAAAGATGTGGCAAGTTCATGGGCCGCACAGACGAGCTTGTTCACATACGTGAGTATTTGCTTCGGGAGACAAACGAGCCGCTTGTCATTCACGCTCCGTCAGGCTACGGGAAGACGTCTCTCATTTCCAAGGCCGCCCAGGAGGTGAACTCTTACCTGCAGTCTCATGGGAGGGGCATCCATGCGCTCGTTGTTCTCCGAATATTAGGGTTGACTCCCCGAAGTCGAAATCTCCACCAAGTGTTGAAGACGATGTGCCACCAACTTGCAGCTGGCTGTGGAAAGTATCGCTACGAAATACCAGACGATGTGAAGAGTTTGAAACAATATTTCCGTGATTTCATACAGAGAGGGGAATTTGCTGGAATGATCGTGCTCCTCCTGGACGGATTGAACAAACTGGACCCAGATGACAGTGCCCTGGGATTGGAGTGGTTGCCAGTCAAGCTGCCTGATAACGTGAAGATCATCGTGACAACGACACCAGACGAGAACGGTACTTTATCTAGACTCAGATTTATGATCCCTGGGCCAGAAAACTTCATTGACTTGAAGGCAATGAAACCACATCTATGCAACGAGATAGTTCAAATGCTGCTAAAACAAGCAACGCGGGGCATCAACGATATTCAACTTAAAGTCATCAACAAGGCGTTTCGCACGTACACGGCCGTCATGGGTATCACGCCACTATACATAAAGCTTGTGTTTGAAGAGGCTGTCAGATGGAAGTTCTACACAGAAGTTGATCTCGAGACGTTGCCAAAGACCATCTATGGCATATTCAATCATGTCCTGGAGAGGTTAGAAAAGAGGCACGGGCAAATGATTGTATCCAGATGCCTAGGTTACATCACGCTGTCACCAGATGGCCTAAGCGAGGCAGAACTGGATGACATTCTCAGTCTAGATGATGACGTGTTGAACTCCCTGTATGTCACTTGGGAGCCCCCATTACGCCGTTTCCCCACAGTGCACTGGGTAAGGGTTAGACAGGATTTAGAGGGATACCTGGTGGAGCGAGAAAATGACGGCGTAGACCTGTTAACCTGGCACCACAAAGAGCTAGCTGATGTGGTTAGGGAGCGATACCTTGGTCACTCAGATGCAGAATGCAAGATGCGAAACAACTTGGCCGATTTCTTCTTGGGAAAGTGGAGCGGCACATGGAAAAAGCCATTCAAGTATGAGCCGCCGTGCACAGAAGGTCTGAAGAAGACGGATCCACAGAGCGAAGCAGTGAGATATGTGTGTGATCAGCCACTCATCTTCAACAGTCTCACCATCAAACCTAAATTCAACTACAGAAAGCTCACCCAACTACCCGTTCACCTGGCAGAGTGCAACAGAACAGAGGAGCTGAAGACAGAAGTATTGTTTCACTATGAATGGATACACGCTAAACTCAAGGCGACCTCGTTTCGCCAGATGCTCAATGATTTTCACCTTATCAAAGACAGAGAGGCAGCATTAGTGGAGGAAGCTCTTAGAATGTCAGAATCCGCGCTTGTTGTGAATCCTGATTCACTAAGCCACCAACTTTTGGGTCGTCTCCTTCCTCACATGCACCAATACCCACTGATCAAACGACTCCTTAACCAGTGTGACCTGATTGCAATGACCCATGGCGCCCTTGTACCAAGATATCAGCTGTACACCACCCCTGGGGCACCGCTTCAATACATCTGTGATATTAAAAAGGAGATCTCTTCAGAGTCAGAAATGCAGGCCATAGACGCCCAAGATGCGATACTGCTTGCCGCCAAACGGCCGTCCAGCAACAGAATGAGTATCTGGAACGTTACGAGCGGAGAGCCGCGACCGATCATGACCCTTCCTCAGGGTAAAATCCACACAACGCCTGATGGTCGATTTTTTAACATATTGAAAAGTAACCGGTCAATTCAGACGTACAAGGTCGACACAGGAGAGTTGTATGGGGAGGTCCAGTTTTCACAAGCCCAAGTCGACTACGTTACAGTTTCCAACAAATATGTCGCCTTCACAGTAAAGCAGCAGAGATGCCCGTTTGTTATTGATCACCAAGAGCGAAAGTACATCCACACATTTGACAGTCAGTCTCAATGTGTGGCTATTAGTAGGAATGATCAGTATATCATATTCAATGCTGATCACGACTGTCTAGCATTTCACGAATTCCCAATGTTAGAACAGCGTCGATGTGCCATTTCGGTGAATGATGTCCCTACAAAGATGGTCTTCGCAAAGGAACCAACAAAAGTCTTTGTTATGTTCCGCGGCAAATCTCTCAAGTGCTACACTGTAAATTTGGTGAAAAAGAATGCAGTAGAAAAGGCTGTCCTAGGCGACCTAGAAATGCAAGATTTTAAGTTGTCTCATACCGACAAATACATCCTTGTAAGATCATCGAGGTGCCTGTTCCTATTAGATGCCAACACCTGCAAGCAACTGTTCAGGTTTTCTGATGTCCCAACTGGCGTTTTTGTCGAGTCCAATTCTACGTTCAGAGAGGCTGGGTTTTCTCCAAATGATGCATACGTTGTAGCTATTAGACACACGTATTTGTGTCTATGGGACACCTGTACCGGCACACCTAAGAGACTGTTCCAAACTTCCGTGCTACCAATCACCTCCATGGCCACTTCCCGGTGCTTCGCCAAAGTAGCCACGTGGTCTGAGGACCACGTTCTGAAAGTCTGGGACCTGAACAACCTGGACACCGACGTTGTTCACTCTAACGAGATCTTTGAGGGAACAATTTTCAATTTTGCAGTGTCGACCTTGGGACCAAATTCAAAGATCGTTTGTTGCGGTACGTACAGTGCAGAAGCTAAAATTCTGGGATCCGACACAGGTATTTGTGAGCGCACGGTAGAACACAGCAACGAGACTCATCGCCGCGTCACAGAAGTGCTCGTTTCGCGGGATGGAAAATTCATATTGACCAGGGCAGATAACGTTGAAGATATGAACACAGCAGATCCAGACAAAGCCTGGACATTTTTGCGTGAAGACAAGGTTTGGGACACTGCCTCCGGTCAGATGATATTCAGAGCCAATAATAGTCGTTGTGCGCTGTTCACAGCAGACAGTGAAGCCGTGGTAATCATTCAGTGCGATACATACACCCCAGATGATCCGGAATCAAGAGTCTACAGGGCACTTTTTCTTGATCTGAATTCAAAAGAACAGCAGAGTTTTGAGCTCCCGCGTGCTGAGATTGTCAGTGCTCCTTTCGTCACTAGCCGAAGTGGTCGGCTGGCTTATCTTATGCAGAAAGTGCGGCACGACATCGATGCTGTTACCGACGAACCGTTCGACATCTACGAGACTCGTCTATGTATCCACTCACTTTCCAAATTCGTGCATCACCCAAGACTACTCGCTCTCCGAGATATCGTACCGGGAGCCGACAGGAGCTTCAGTTTGTTAGACGTCAGACAGACAGTTGAAGACAATTTCTTCGTAGTATATCGAAAGGACGACGCCCCGTTTGAATATAAGAATGATGGGACGTTGGACAGGGGTCGCCCCGTAGCTAAAGGCGCATTGCTGTTTGATGTGGTTCACCACAAAGTTCTGGAAAAGTTCGACTGTTTTATGGAACCATCCTCAGATATTCAGTCCACTGTGTATTCCCGCCATTATTCCATCGCTGTAGATCAAAACCTGGGGGTATTTGATATACGCAGAGGGATGAAAGTGCATACGCTGAAAATGAATCCTGCCGCCGACTGTAGGCCTCGATTGTTGCTAGATGGAAAATACGTTGCAACGTTGTCCGAGAACAGACGGATGCTGCTTGTTTCACGCGCGTCGGATAGCGTGGAAAAAGCGCGTGCCTTCATCCACGGGTATGCAGAAGCCATCCACGTGTCCGAGGACGATAGGACGGTATTTGTCAGCACCCAGGACGGTCGCATTCTCAGTTTTCTCCTCATTCTAGACACGGCAGACCCGGTGATAGAATTAATCAGCAAAGTCCCCAGTCGAGCGCAGAGCCGGCCATCGAGGAGTCTCATATACAATGACATTCAACAGGCATCTACAAAAACTTTTGAGCTTCATCGCCTGTCTGTTGCCTATAGACACGAGCTGCGTGAACAGATACGTCGCCCTCCAAGTTATCGTACGCTCGAGACGGCCGTGCTTGTCACTCAGAGAAATAACACTTTTAAGTCCCAGTCATGTTCTATACAATGAGAATTCGAGATTGGCGGATTTTGTCACATTATATAGAAAATGGCATTGTTTCGTAAAATTTGGTTTAATCTTGTTGTTGACAGTCACAGTTTTTTTAATGAAATGTGACTCAAATGCATCGCTTTTAGTTTTTACCTGCGTATTTTTAAACAAAGATCTGAGCAGATCAAAAAACGCTGAAGTCATTTCCATGTCGTGGGTAAAATTTAATATGTGCCAACTTATGTTATGTAAATGTAGCACCTTCACTGGCAGCTCCAGAATACCAAGAAAAGGAGAGCGGGGGCAAAAAAGGCAGCTGGCTATTTTGCCCGTCCCACTCCCGACAATATGTGGATAAACTCTCGCCTCCCTTCATCTCCCAAATAACAACTGAATGTTAAAATTTGGAAAAGACGGGGTTTGGGCGCTGGATAACAATTACTTTTGCTCCCTTGTTAATCTGCTGACTGGGTGTGTGTGTGTGTGTGTGTGTGTGTGTGTGTGTGTGTGTGTGTGTGTGAATTTGAGTGCGTGCGGGCATGCCTGTTCTATTTTATAAAGGATGTGAACTAGCTTTTGAAAATGTTTACTATTGTTTTTGAAATTTATCTGGTCAAAAATGTAAAATCCAAGGAATGCTGTATATCTTTTCTTTGTAATTCTTGTTTTGTTACGGAAATTAAGATAGAGAAAATAAATACCAATTTATGTGAAACAGATTGGTTCTTATGCATGCATGAAAGATGTATTGTAGAAAGCGCAAATTTGTTAACTAATGCATTTTTCTGCACTTTCACATTTGGGGATTTGATTGCACGCTTAAAATATTACCCTCGGCTTAACAACATTGAAGGCATTTTTGTATGAAGTTTTCACACAAAAAATAACGAGGTGATTGGAAAAAGGGGATGATTGTCAACGACGAATCATATATTAACATGCAAAAAAGCTAACATTAACTAAATTATTTGCAATTTTCTTAGACTCGTCTAAGTCTTCAATCTTATAACTTAGTAGTTTCACACACACACATACATGCACAAACACACACACACTTATAAAAAGAAACACTTCTTGTTTTGTTTTGGTTTAATAAATGACATAAAAAATTAATATTGGTAGTGCCATTATTTCACAGAATAGAAAAACATAAAAAATGCTTAAATTACTACTCCAAAAATGGAGGAAAAAGGTCTATAAACAAATTCAGATAATAAATTTATCACAGTATTCATAATTTTCATTTCCAGCCATTACCTGTTAGCTTTAAAATCTACTGGCAAATGATGCTTAAGTTATATCTGGACCAGCATTAATATCAACATAATATGTCTGTTTAACAAGAGTGTCGGTTTTAGATGACAAACTTAAGACCAGCAGGAGCTGACGTGCCTAGTGAACCAGTCATATCTGAGCAACTGACTGGTAAAGATATCACATTTGGCATGTGTTTGGTTGAGTTATCATGTCTGATGTATGTTTCTAGTCGAGTTGACATTTGTCCATTTAGGTACTGTTCTCATGCTTGAGTGAGTTGGTTGGCCCAGTGATCTTCACTTTCTTCTGAGGCAGCCTGCTAAAACAACCAAGATTGTAACCCATGGTCCTAGTACTACCTACATGTAAATTTTAATTTAAAAAGAGTATGGGACTGTTCAGAATGAGTTTTGTCGACCTAGCTTGTGTGCACTAACTCTCACTAAATGTAATCAGATAAACAGTTTAAGGCCTAATTCCCACAGACACCATTGGTCTATGTGGAACGACCAAACTCTAAGAGGGCTTTCGCCAGGAGTAAATCAGCTTAACTGAATGACACAACACTTCTTGTTTTTAATGTATCCATATAATCACCAGCATTATACTCAATGTTAGGAGTACACATGCCAGAGTCCCCTTTGACTTGGCTTGATCCACATACACCAATGACATCTATGGGAATGGGGCCTAAGACGCCTCTCCTGGCACTGAGTAGAATACAGAGAAGCTGGTTATTATATGGGTATGTTGGAAACAAGAGGAGGCGTGTTTACCTGATTGCATTCATTGAGAGTCCCTGTGGATTATTTAGGTCAACAAAACTCTTTCTGAACAGTCCCCATATAACTGTCAAGTACAAGCTCAAAGACTGGAAATCACTTATCAATACCTAAAATATCTAATGAAAACAAAATAAAAAAAGAGATTAAATCTTCCCCTTTTCTGTCTGTTTTTTTTAAAGCAAGTCTTGATCTGGTCTGCGCTTTTTCCATCATATAAATTTGCATGCCCCCCCCCCCCTTTCCCACATCTCAATTAAATCATGGTTTTTACTCCTACCTCTTCAATATTTTGGTAGCAACCCCTCTTTAACCTCACCAGGTCTCCCCACAGCACATCTTGGTGGCATTTTGGACATTGTCCATTCACTGGGAGTATCATGGCTTTTACTGCCCCCTGCTGGAGGAATACTTTGGCCAGGCAGATGGTGTGTGCCTGCATGACACAGTTTGGTTGAATACACTTCAGTCTGTCATCTTCACCCTTGAATGAAATGTGGGAAACCATTTAAGAGCTTTGTGGTCTGTATAAAACCACTGCACCAAAATTACTTTCAGAAAGAGAAAATAAAAAAAAAGTGATGCCAATGAAGTGCTCAACATGAGCAAAGTTCTACCAGTTAATTTGATTCTCTTTTTAAGCAAACTGGTGATTAAAAATGTAATGATCTAAATGTATTTTTATACGACATATTCCAAAATATCACCAAATATAGGAGCCCAAGCTATATTGTACTTAGTATTCTGAAAAAAAAAAAAGACTGTATACCAGGTAAATCCACAGCATGATGTATAAAATGATAAATACCACAAATCTTTCACTACACACTGCACATCTAGGATGCTTGCTGCTGGGTTGTAACAGCTGAGCAAAATCATCACTGTCATCATCACCACTTCTTTCAGTCTCAGTATCAGTAGTCTTTGTCCTTTTGCCCTTAGTCTTATTCTTGACTTTCACACTTTTCACCGGACCATACACAATAGGCATATGTACTGGGGGAGTTAAATCAGGAGGAAAGTCCAAGGTGTACTCTTGTTTCAGCCAGCGTATTGTGAGAGGAAGACGGCACCAGGGTCCAACTCTCAGCATTTCACATGCTATCCGGAACTTGTGCTTGTATCCATGTTCTGCTTTTCGTCTCTTGACAATATGCTTTAGTCTGCGAGATACTTCAGGATGCTGCCAGGCCCATTCAAACTGGAAAACAATATATAATATTGTGGGGAGCTTTGTAAAATGAAAAAAATTATAGATAGCAAGTAGAACTCTCAAACATAATGTTTGTGCCTACATTATAAATTTAATCATACATTTATGACATTAAATGCAACAGTTAAATGTAATCTCTGAACTTCAGTTACCAGAAAATGCACATATACTAGTACCCTGTATATATACATGTTTTCATACCTGTAAAGTGGGTATACTGCTGTTTAATATGATACATACCTATGATATAAATATACTTACTCTTAAAGCAGATATTTCATTGGGGAACCCATGGATTATCAGCACCATCTCCCTGTCAAAATATTATGTTAAATATTATAATTGATTATTTTAATAATTAAATTAAATTTAAAAAAAAAACGGTATGAAAACAAATATTAGGTAATCATCAAATTAATCTGAAAAAAATATCGATGACCTCAAGTTTCTGTTAATAAAACCCCTTTGCTTTTATCAATGCGACTGTGCACCTCACTGACGAATGAGAGAATCTCTACAGGTTGGGCAATTAATAATAATTTAGTACACTGTGTAACTGAGTGTTACCAGGGCCCTCTCCCGCTTGTTCTCCAGGCTCCGCCGGCTTGTTTACCAGCATTATGCTGCTTTATCCTACGGTTTGGGTCAACGGTGAATCCTATGTATGTCCGCCCTTTACATTTAGGGTTTAAGCTGTACAATAAATAACAACCGTAGAAATTTTCAATTTCGTGGGCTTTATCCAATGCTCCCGCCGCCATTTTGAATCATGTCACGTGACTGCCACCTGCTTACCTGAGTTGTAAGAAATGGGATTTTTTGCATATTACTTCTAGTAATAGCGACAGTAGACATGTAAAATTACAACATTACCGTTTTTCGTTCTATCTAAACATTCGATTTCAAAACAGGTCTCTTTGATAACCCTTTGAGGGGGGGGGGGCAAGATAAGATCGATAATTTAAGGAGGTTGCTTCAGGTTCAGTGGTGTTCTTATTCATCCCACAATCTCGCTCTGTGATTTTTTTTTCTTTTCCACAAGTTCAAGGGGATTATCAAACGAACCAAAGAGACCTGGGTGGGAGGGCACTAAGAGCGCGATGAGAGGATGAGAGGCATCCCAAACGGCTCGTGATGGCTGTCCTCAAGGACATCTCAGAAGGAAGGTTGGAAAATGCATTAGATAATTTTGAAAGCCCGTTACTTTTTAGGAAGAAACCACGAAGTTTGTTGTTTGAAACAAACTATCACTTGAGTAATATATTTTTGTTAAAAAACAAATTATCCTTCTAAGCTACAATTATAAGGTGTTTGGCAGTGTTTCCGTTGATCGCCTCTTGTTAAAGCTGAAGCTCTCAGTAGGCACGTGCAAAAACCGTGCGTCTATAGATAATAATAAAAAAAACTTATAGGAAAATGTTATGAAATTTAGGTCTACCACGTTCAAAATATTTAATTTGGATAAGGCATCTAAAAGATACCATAAAAAGAAGCTCCAACCTACCGGTGAGCTGTGGGAGATAAAAATTAAGATCTTGCCCTTTTTGCTGTTTGGGAAATTATATATAACTACAGAAGAAGAATGGTTCAAAGGATGAAAAACAAAGACGGTCAGGTCACAACCGTACAGGAACGGTCCAAAATGTATTTTTTTCTTTTTAATTTTTTTATTCTAAGTTTAACTTTGCACTGATCTATTTGGAGGAAAATTAATTGATTAGCACCACATTCTAGGATGAAGATAAAATATAAATTACCAGCCATAAAGATGTCTTAAAATTATCCTTCTATTATCTTTCCTATTTTAGGTCTATCCAAAATGTCGTCCCCCAATTTTATATGTTGCGCCAGTAATACAGGGTGAAGACTTTCTACCCGGTAGCTCAGACGTCATCTTGAATTTGTCTTTTTGTAATTGCAAACAGGAATACCACTAGTGTAGCGTAGAAATTCAAAAGTTTAAGCTTATATCATAATCAAAAGACTACACAGATGAATTTTCATCAAAGAATACGATTTATATGAAAGAGTGTATTTCATAAACGTAAACCGGTGGGTATTGGGATTGATTTCAAATAAATAAAGGCAAACCTCAGTAGTGTCACGCCGGGAGGTTTGAATAAAATGCGCCTTACAGGTTATTGGGTTCTTACAGTTACGACATAAAGCCATTGCTAAGACACTATCTATTCTTAAAGTGTTTTAAAATGATCTGACATCCCGCTATGAACGCTAAATCTGTCTTTGCTTTCGAAAAGAAGGGGATTTTAAAAAGGAAAAAACCAAAGATTGCATTTCTATAGGCACTCATTTGATTCAAGACGCTTTACAAGTGTATAGTCATATTAAAATTTCCCTAAATGTTTTCTTTTTAACGTTATTTGTCGGAACATGTTTATGAGAAAATTATATGATTTACGTCGTCTGGGCAGTATTTGTCACTTTTTACCAGGAGCTTTTCTTCGCTTTGCGGCAATTGCATTCTCATGTTTGACAGCCTTTTAAATTCTTCCATGTTGTAGTTATTGCAAACAGTGCATCAAAATTTAGATTTAAAATCTTGCAAAAAAGATTAAAGACTGAATGCAGAAGTTTAAATGACCTTGAGAGCCATTTCTGGGGGCTCCAGGTCCCTCCTCTGGGTCAGTTTTACAGGAAAAATAAATCTGGTAGACAAGTAAATTATCTATACGGCATCAAACCATGAGGAAAGCAAATTATCGTTGGTATAAACATGCAGTGTTCGTAATCTCTCTCCCTCCGTCCTTCTCACACACACACACACACACACACACACACACACACACGTTGCAATGATTAATGACATAATTGAGAGCGCCACCTGTGATCTGGCGGAGTCCGCGGCAGAATAAGGTCATCGTGCCGCATGTGATCAGTCCACACGGTCAGTGTAGCGTTCATATACCAGAAGAACTCCTTCAAGACCGCAGAGATCACTTAGAGATGGCAGGACTGGAAGGAAAATGGAAACTCATAGATTCTAAGAATTTTGAGGAGTACATGAAGGCAGTTGGTGAGCTTTTATCTATTTGAGACGTATTTCATTCTATAAAACACCTGGGCGTCTTTCAGAATGCTATGAGCTGAAGTAAAATCACAATTAAATGTGCAGGCTGGGTCTTCCGGAAGACGGTCAGATTTTCAAGTTTACATTGGCGGGTATCTAATTTTTTCTGACGGAAGACGGTCAAAAATGAAGAACAGATCAACAAAGATAATTTGGAAGACTGTCAGGAAATATCTCTGGATCCGCCCCTGATGTGTGTACTCTGCATTGGATTGAAATTTGTAAACGTAGGCCTATATGCAATCCAAAACGACAGTGTTATACGTATGTATATTTTGTAGTATGATAAGTAGCCCCACAAAGAGTTTGAGTTTATAATGATGAAGCGTTCTGATACTTAAAACTCGCTCCCACGACCTGTATAATCTACAGGAGACCTTGATGAGACATATAAACTGCAAGGCTTTGAAACACGGCCGCACAAACGCAGAGGCCAAAGTCCAATTTTGTAGCCTTTGATTTGAATGACAAAAACTTTTCAGAACTTAATATATTAAATGATTGTAATTTGTATGTAACTGGATGTATTATTGAGTTGCTGTATTTTAATTATTAACAGTTCGGTGGGCAGGGTATTTAACATTTAAGTCTTGTGCAGTGTACAGTAGCTCGTCCAGTATACCCCAAAAGTTGCATCGTCAGTGCATCGTGTTATGAGGATCGTAAATGACGAATATAGTGCATTAATTAGGATTATCATGCAATAAGTGCTGTTCAGTCTGTTCAGTGAATGAGTGAAGTGATCGTGCCTCAGTTACCAGGCTGAGTTGCAAGTCCTTGGTGAATTTACAGCCGAATTTACACAAATCCTGTAATCTGCAAGCAGGCACTATCTGGCTATGCGCCGACATGCCGTTTCTAGTACGCCCTGGGATTACCCCCTTCTCCCAGACAGTATTGGAAAGAACGATGTTGCCGTCAGTCAGATCAGTGAAGCAGAATCATAGAATATCATTATGTACTGCAACCCAGTCACAACCCTCCAAGAGGTTATCGTGTCGACCGCACTCAACCTCCCAGTTCTAAGTAAGATCTCTGTAATGCTTGCGAGGCCGTGATGATTGCACAGCAGCCAGAGACTCAGCTAGTCAAACGTACTAGTTATGAGGCGCTCATTTTCCGAGACGAAAATTCTATGTTAATTATCATTGCGTGTGTCTTACATTAACACTTGCACATTAGACGTTTTATTCCATGTCCTTTTTTATCCTTAATGGGCAACCTGAACGTTGCACTTTACCGTTGGTATCGCATCCAGACGTACTGATACAACACAGGGTACACGCGCACTTCTCAAGTTCAAAGGGCGAGATACCGATATTTACGTGAAAAAGGAACTCCATTTTGACTAGACTGACTGTGTCTCAATATTTCAAGAAAAGTTCAAACTTTAAAGACTTGTTTTGAAATTGTTTCTCATGGCAAATGTTATACATTTTCTGTGACGAAAGTTAGGGCTTTTTATGTATGACTAATATCCGTCATAAAATCTACCAAATTCAATCGTTTATCAAAGTTTTAAAGTATATTTGTTCTTTATTTCAGGTGTTGGGGCTGTTATGCGAAAACTCGGAGCAACGGCAAAACCCAGCCAGGAGATCTCGCGAGATGGCGACAAGTTCACAATAAAAACTAAAAGTGCGGTGAAAAACACAGAAATCACTTTCACTCTTGGACAGGAGTTTGAAGAAACCACTGCAGACGGCAGGAAAGTGAAGGTATCCCTATTTAAAAAAGAGATAGAGAAGTGATTCTAAAGAGGCTGAAATAAGGTTAGAAAAATCCAACATAGTGTCACGGGATGTCGTCTCCTATTAAATAAAATCACCGTTTCAAAATAGATTCATTGTCAGTGTCGGAGAAGGTGGAAAGTAAATTTCAAAGTTATAGATATGGCAGCAAGTAAACCTCGATGCACCGTCTGTGATTTGCATGACTACCGTACGATGTAGGGCACACACAAGTTCAGTGGGCCCGAATTAGTACAGGGAACAATTTATAAATTAATCATGGAAACCTTATTTATGATAAAAGGCTGTCTGGGGTTTAATTATTAACAGCTGTCATTGCCGCAGTTGTGTGAACAATACATTAAGTGCAAGAGACAAACACAGGATTCAAAGTTTAAGATACATTTTATGTGATAACGGAGGCAACTCCCAGGGTTACACCCCCATTTACCCTTGTGGCTTCATTTGAAAATCACATTTTAGCGCCGAATCAACTACTGTCTAATAGATGCATCGCTTAAAAATCACGATAAAACTGTTAATTTTCTCAATAAATTTTCTGAAGCACTACAATTACGACAATAGATGGTACTTGAACTCTAAGAACAATGAAAACAGGCAAATCTCTCGTGTACATTGTTTAGATCGATTACGTACTTGTTGATGGCCTTTAGACAGGGATGGCACCGCACGTGATAAGAACCAACGCCAGTATCTTGATACTGTGTGCAAGTTTAATATTTGTCTCGAAGACAGGTGTTCTGTTATTCCTGAAATACTATTCTTTGTAATTTTTTTTACTTCATAATATTCTTCACCGGGTGCCTAAACCTACGCCAAGGGGGGGGGGGGGGTCAGCTTTGCCCCCCCCCCCCCCCTCAAATAATCCTGGATCCACCCCTGTCTAAATATGTCTTTTTGACATTCAATTATAGACCTTGGTTAATTCAAGAATATTTCAGTCATCCTGTATTCAAAAATGTGCTACAAAAATGACCTAGCTTATAATGACTCTGTGGTTAAAGACACTGGGAATTGCTGTTATCGTGGGAATATTACTGTCGATAAAGTACCCATTCAAATGGCATGTTTACCCACGGCGTGTTAGATAGCACCTTGCAAGCAATTGGCCGTTCTTTTACCGGTCACTCAACGCACACCCGGCGGAAACTGTTCTACTACAAGTCTCAATTTTTTATGTCCAAACTGCTTCAGATTTTCACCTAACGTTACATGATGGCTGAAAAAGTTAATTATGTCTTGAAAACTTTGTCCAGATAATTGCTTATAATTACATTGTTGTTGTAAAACATATCGATTTCATTTGATAGAAAAGTTTTTCAATATTTGGCAGCTTAAACACATGTGGATTATCAGTGAGAAGTTAGCTCAATAGAACCAATTAAATTGGATCAGGTGTCTACATCTCCAGATTAATGCGTTTCTCTGACCATTATAGAATATCAGTAAACAAATGCGTTTTTCATCAATAGATCATCTCGTGTTGCCCGCCGAGAATATTATGCTTTGCCGTTGCCCAGAGTCTCTGTAGGTCGCTCCCATTAATATTATACAGGCATACCATGTACCGCTATCTTGCCGTAGACTTTTCTTCTACATACCCCTCTCTGGGTCAGCCTCTTATCTGGTTTATGATACGGACTCTCAATTTCCATTGAGTAACATGCATTGATAACTCTGTTTTATAGAGTATATGTTTTCTCTTCGTATCGAAATTTCATGAGAGCCAGAATCGATTACTTAATGTTTCAACGTGTTTCAGAGTGTTGTGACACTGGACGGGGATAAACTTGTCCATTCTCAGAAAGGTGACATCGATTCCACCATTACCAGGGAAATCATCGATGGGAATATGGTCATGGTAGGTGATGGCTTTATGTCGAGGGTTATTTCCGTATCTGTATCGTGTTTGGTGGTGAATTTATGTGAGAATTTATGTTAGGTATTAAAGTTTTCATACAGAATAGAAATAAATAGCGAATTAAAGAAATTAATGGTATTCATGACGTCAACGAATTAAAGGTATTACTTTGATTATATCGGCAGAATTGTGTTGAACTATTTCATGCTTGTGCATGTAGAATAAAAACTTGAACCGAATGCAACAAGTGCTTGTTTTATTTTCAAAGATATATAGAAAGTGTGTGCTGAAACCAGGCATTTAAATTATACATAATAATGCAACGGGAACTTCTTTAAAAAGGAAAAAGTACCGTCTTGGAAACTAACGAAAGAGTGTTATTATTCATTTCAGTATGTCAGTGCCAAAGACGTAACCTGCACGAGGACGTACGCGCGTGAATAGAGACAGTAACTGACTGTATGCGGGAAATAACCATGACATAAATAGATAAATTCATATGGATTTGTAAATATTTGAGAAAAATCGTATAAACTTTGCCAAGCCAGAGCCAGACAAGATAACAGAGTCAAGAGGAAACACCAACTACTGAAAGTATCACCGAGATGCTGGCCGAGATGAACCACTGGTGGGTGTATAACAGTGGGATGTGTTTGTGGTTCCACCCTGCCCAGCGCAGCGAAAAGTGCTCAATTTTCAACGTGATCAATGTGAAATAAAATTATCAGTATTCTGTTTTTGTTGATTTTAGTTGTATTCTATACAAATCTGTTTTTCACAATGCATTTATCCCGTCTCTCTCTCTCTCTCTCACTCTCACTCTCACTCTCTTTCTCTGTGTGTGTGTGTGTGTGTGTGTGTGTGTGTGTGTGTGTGGTTGACTCTCTGTGGTTGACTAAGGGTGGGGATTTATTCATCCATTGCATTATGCTACATGTGCATGAATTTACATATGCTTCACAGTAAATAACGCTAAAAAGTCTCAGAATGACTGCATTTATACCCGGAGTAACAGTGGATTAGGGAGACCTGGGCATGGTCCGACTATAAGAATATGAGACAACCCCGCCTAACCATGGGTTAATATATGTGTCACCTGACTTGGTAAATATTTATCCTTTGTTAAAGTTTGAAGTACAGAGTGTATTGAAAAGCTGGCTGTAGTCGGCTAAGGCATTGCAGCTAATAAGCAATACTTTGCATTAGCTCACAGCGCGTGTACCTCATAAAAGATGTGTAAACGGGGTCGGGGTTCTCAGATGTCCACTGTTATACAACCCACAGAAGACCAAGACACAGCCGTGCAAGATGGAACCATTTTTAGGAAAATGGCAATCATTGCCCCAAAATAACGTAGAGTTTGGTGCGTTTTTGAAGGCAACAGGTGGGTCATCTTTAGCAAAAAAACAAGGGCTGTGACTGCTGTGGTCACATTTATTCGTTTTGAAGCTCTTAGCCAATTTTGATTCGCTATGTACTTAGCATTCATATCTTTTGCATAATAAATTAAAACCAAGAATTGTGCTAATACATCAGGCATGAGCCAGGAGCAGGTGGAGGGGTACCAGAAGATGAACAGTGAGCACCCAGACATCGTCACCTTAACCCAGGAGGGAGATCAGTTCAAGACGCACACGGTGTGCGGACCCGTCGTCATAGAACACACCTTCAAGCTGGGGCAGACGTTTGTGGAAACCATGCCGCCAGAAAACAAACAGTGCAAGGTGATTGTAGCTTATGTTAAGATATGTCGCACTTAGTCTGGAATTTCATTTTTAATAAGTGTTACATTCGTCATATCAAGAATGTATTACATTGGTAACGCGTTCTTGATCACATGTATATTCTTTTATTTTATATCGTAACATTTATATCAATATTTACCATTCAAAAGAATTAATGATTGTTCATAATTTGAGATAACAATAAGTGCAGTTCACTTAAGTATAAGATTACAAACTGCCTGGTTAATAATTATTGAACAATTATGATTTGTGAACAAGTTTTTTATTGCTACAGATGACATTCAACCTGGTGAACGGAGCACTGGAAGACGATACAGAAATGGAGGGAGTGAAAATGAAACATTCCAGGACCGTATCAGGCGATGACATGACCATGGTATGATTTTGAATGCCGTCATAATCATAAGAGTGAAACTCTCTTGATAAATAATTTAAAATTGTGACCTCTCCGCCCCCCCCCCCCCAAAAAAAAAACAAAAAAAAACTACAAATGAAGTTTCAAAAATTTCTATTGAATATAGTATCTGATAAGGAAAAGAAAAAAGTCTCTCTCTCTCTCTCTCTCTCTCAATCAACATATTTTCTATATTTTCCAGGTAATGTCAGCTGGAGGAAAGTCTTGCATTCGTATGTATAAACGAATCTGAGAGACGCCGACCTTAGCGACAATGTTTGACACTGAAGAATATTCTTGGCGCTGCATATCATTAGAATCTGACACAACAGCTTTGTTCTCTTTTATTTCATTTTTATGTAAATTTTATTATTCCTTTATGCAAAACAGTAAAGTGAGCACTCATTTAGCAGGATAAAGTCTACTTTTCAAGTAGCATTTTTTAGTACAGATTTCTTTTATTTAGAACAACTGTTACTGGAATTTTGATTTTTTTTCTCTGTGTATCTTTTTTCTAAAATATGGAGAAATACATGCTATTGTAGCAAAACAATGAATCTTGTTGTTCCTAACGTCAGAAACATGCTATAAATTGCTAATATTTATTTCGGTCCTCCAACAATTCCGAGTAGAAAACCCTACATCATTGTAAAAATTTATAAATTGTATAGTTTAAAAGGACAATGAAAAACCGCAAAATTATAATGTATTTTTTCTTCCTAAATAAAAATATCCACCATAACATAAAAAGCGCTCTGTTAAGAAGATGACGTGATAATGTATATGCACGCTTAGTTGAGAGGACAACAAATGCAGTTGTTTTCACGAACTTTTTTGAGACCAGATTCATTCAATTTCGAGATTATTGAACAGTAATAGCAGTTCAAATATACATGGATTGCAAATTAATCATTAAACGACAGCCTCTCACGTGCAGTCAATCATGCTATGTATAATCTAACAATGAAAAAACGTTGCGTTGGATTTTGCACGTAGCCATAGTAATGATTAAATAACTCGTGTGTGATTTGCTCGTTGCTCTGTATAGTGGAATTGTTTGCTTTACATTTGCCTATCTCCACACATATATTCATGCATATATGCCATTGAGGCCTATTGACACCGTTAACATGATTGATTAATGACTAACTCTCGTATCGCGATGACTAATCGTGTCAAGGTTTTTAAGGGTGCCACGTAACCAGGGTTCTATATATATTTGATTCCTGCCAGTCTGCGGCACATTGAATCGTGCCGATTTGTGTTAACGAACCCCCAGCGCCTTTGCAAGCGACTGAACAGACTTCAGTATGGACAAATTCATTGGAAAGTGGCAACTGGCCAGTAGCGACAAACTCAAAGAGTATATGGATGCAGTAGGTGAGCTGTTTAAATTTGTTTTTAAAGACAAAAACAGAAAACAAATAAAAGTAGTTTTTTTAAAAAAAGGGGAGTGTCTTTTAAAAATGTATGAGTAGCAGCTGAATTGTTAACTCTAAAAAATAAGCAAAATGCTCTATTATTTTTGTATGTATTTCATAGATGCATTACTTCATTTATCAATCCAGTTTAGAATCTAAATCACTCTAGTTCACGGATTAATGACCATTATGATATTTTCTACAAATAAGCAGGAGTAGCTTTGTGTTAACGCCCATTGCTCAGAACGCAAGCGTCTCCCCGCGTTTTTTCTATGCAAGTTACACAAAGTTGCATACAAGTGTGGCTGGCAATCGAGAAAAAAAGCCTACGTAAAGCTTTAAATCAAAAGTTTGCGTTAATTTGCAAAATAATGCCCCTGTTTCCCACAATGTATGCGATAAATCATACGTTACTTTCTCGCTGACTAGTGGTGCGCTGCTTCTCGAAAAAATCTTGTGCTGAAATAAAAAGGGAAATCAATGCACTTCATACGGAGATAACCCATTGGAGCGAAGACATATCAATAAGTTTTAAAGATAACGTCTCTTAAAAGCAAAGTAAAGAAAGAGATTATCCCCTCAATTCGCCCTGGCCCACTTTCGGTTTTGCCTGCTTAGCTGGGGGTCGCTAAAAAGGGGCGGTGAACCAGGCGGTCCACGGGCACACGTGCAGAATCGCTATCGGCATGATAATCTCATTTAACGTCTGGGGTTTAATTTTAGTACCAGATTACATACAGTCTCTTGAATGGTAGTCTTTGAACGGTGTAAATCAAGTTCGAAGGAGATAAGAGATATGGCTTTGCACACGGTTTTGTTCAAATTAAATTTAATGGAATTGACACAAATGATCCGCTTTGTATTGCTTGATAATGTAGGGTACCTAGGTGCGACCGAAACTAATTTATTTGACGCCGTAGCACGGGACACGACTGTTAAACCGTTCTGCTTTTAGCGTTAAGGTAGTGACTTATGACACAACTACACACACAGATTACACGTAACTGTATAATCTGAAAGGCTTTATTTAACACTACAGAAAAAAATATTTAACTGTGCTAATGATAACCGTTGAGACAATTTACCAATTCATTAAACATGACTTACATTTATTCTGTCACTGTTTCGTTTCAATAAGTTGGCTTATGAAGTTCTGTTGTTTTGAAATGGTGCAAGAAGAACGAAAATGACAAGCGTAATGCACATGTAATTGTAATATATCATTTTTACTCGTAAAGAGAAAATGAGTGGCACATTATGTCTCATACCTATATCTTGTCTTGCACAGAGGTCGCTGAGGAGTTCCAGCAAAAAGCTCTCGCCGTGCTGAACCTGGAGGCCAAGCCAACCCACGAGTTCAGCCAAGATGGCGACAAGTACACCCTAAAAACTATCACCGGCACGAAGACAGAGGAGATGACATTCAAACTGGGGGAGGAGTTTGAACACACTGCCTTTGACGGGAGAACTGGCAAGGTGAGCGCCACGCGGAAAGTTAATCATGTCTTCCCCTCTTTAAATAAAGACTAAAATAAAATATTTTAGGACACGGAGAGAAAATTTTTGCTCTTTCAGCACGTTAAGATGTTATTCATTTATTCATTTATATTTTCATTCATTTTGTGTGGTAGAGGTACAAGAGGTAGTACAACCTGGGTGAGTTAGCAGATTGCGACAGCTTCTCAAACGCATTTGCCCATTTAATTTTAGGTCTTGTTAACAATGGACGGTGATGTGTTAGTTGAGAAGTGGACGATGAACGACCTTAGTTCCCTCAACAAACGTGTCGTCAGCGGGGATGAATTGACTTATGTAAGTAACATGCCACATTACCAACGTCGATTTTTCTGGTTCTGACAGTAACGTATTTAAGCAAGGAAGGGTTGAACGGTTTGGTCGACAAAAGTTTCTAACAATCTTACCTTTCTCTATGTCATAGAAACAAATTAAGAAACACAAAATACGATTTTTAAAACTGACTTTGAGAAGCATGCACGTCACACAAAATATTTAACTAAGTATTGTTATTATTCAGACTTTGACAGCCAAAGACGTCGTCTGCACAAGAAAATACAACCGTGTGTAGGGACCATCAACGCCACGGCTTCCTTCAAAAATAAAGACTTATTCCTGGGCACAGATCAGACGCTGAGACCCAGTAACAAACTGCAGAAACTGCTTTTTTTCTTTTCATTTTTGCAATCAGCATCATCGCCGAATAAACACACTCACCTATTACAAACAGCAAAGTGTATAATTCCTGGTCGGCCAGTAATCCATAGCTTTCCCTGGCTTTCCTTGGGTGATCAGCTCTGTGGCGTACGTGCAGGACGGGATCACACGGGCTCATGGCAGTGACTGTGATAGTTTGCTTCTCTACTTGACAGAAACGGCTTTTTACAGCGCATTTCAGAATAATTTTACACGCGTAAAAAGTCGGTAAGGCACTGGCGGGCAACGTTCAGTGATAACACCCCGGCTGCAACTTAAGCAAAAGAAGGTCGTTTTGATACATGCTTCGACACAAAACACGTTAGTATTGGTGATAATGCCGCATTCGGCGTTATTTCAGTGAAAATATGCGTAACGAATACAATAAAATCTTGGGGTTATCATCAACACGTGCATTGGCGTTTTTAATTTCTCATAGTTTATTTTCTTTAATGTATCCCATGCTTCTTGACAATTAAAATGCATACATATTATTTGGGCACATTTTTAAGGAAAATATAACAGCTTAGGAAATGTTTTTTTTTTATTTACTGGATAAAGTCATCTTGATTCAAGGCAAAATAGCATTAGCAAAACCACTCGCTCCGAATGTTATGTCGTTTCTTCAAAGAAATGCAGCATATTCAAGAAATGTTTTGTTATTTACTGGTTCTAAGTAAATCGATTCAAAGGAAGTTAATTGCGAAACCTCTTACCTTAAAAGTTAAACCAGACTGGTTTTCCGTAAAACAATTGGGGGGGGGGGGGGGGGGGTCAATAATCGTGAAACAAAGATAAAGAAAGATAAAAAAGCAAGATAAAATAATATTTCAAATGCCCACCACTACTTAAATGAAAACACACTCAAACAAAAGAACGTACGGGAAACACGACCCAAGTTTTCTTTGATGTGATATTTCCTCCAATTATAGGCCGACAATGTGTATACCTCTTCAATGCACGTCACATTTGAACATATTGCCTCTTCATTAGGAATATACATCCGAAGGCTTAAGAGCTGCAACAAAAACTAATTTTTCACAAAGTTTAGTGGTGGTTGTTCCGATACAGTTCTTCGATTGTTGTTTATCAAAATTGCATCTTTTTTACATCTATTCTTAGTTTCATCCTAAGATCTAATAAACGTTATATTAGATCTTAGTTTCATCTTACTTGTTTTATTTTCAATCACACTGCCTATTTGGCTTAATATGCTGTATTTGTAAAGCACAGTGATATTTTATGGTAATGATTTTTATCATTCTTATTATCATAAAAATAAATAATTTCCCATTTTGTTCCTTTACATCATTTGCTTCCTCCGTTCTTGTCTCAATCCAATGTATTATAACGCTATCCGGCGTGCTACAGCATGTGATGACTTTCAAGCCTCCCACAGGTTGCCAGACGTGACACGCAGTTCTTAGTATAGTACGTGCGTCATTACTAATGTAATGTTATGACTGGTCAACCAACTTCCCGACCTGCAACTTCTGCAACTTGAACAAAATATATCTAAAATATAGCTCTTGCAATTTGAATTTTAATATAAATCAATTTCAAAAATTACGATTTCATATGAAAAAAATAATACGAAGGTAAAAAAATGTTAAACATGCCACTCCGTCATGCTTATAATCTATACACAACGTTATAGATATATATATTTTTTTATATGTGATGGTAATTACCATCTTATCGTAATGGCCGTCAGTAATATATATACTACGTACTTCACTAGATCAATTGGTAGAATTGCATGATATGGTTTGGGAGCATTTCAGCTTATTACTTCCTATCTCTCTCTTACCGATTTGGCGGAATAGAAGATCAGATAAGTATCCTTTATGAAAATGATCGGGACAAAATTGTTAATTAAAAAAATTAAAATAATGTGCTTTTACCATGAAGAGCCAGTCTGTGAACCAGTAGTGATCAGTGTCAGGTCTTAGGAATTAGAACTGAAAAGGATGATGATGATGATTATGGTGTTTGAGAAAATATTAAAATAGGGTTCTCCTTAAAATGTTTAAACGGCATTTGAAGGTTGTCATTCCACCACTACCCAGTGACCTCTACTGATATCTGATGTTCTGATTCTGATTCCTGCGCAAAAAAATATTTGTAAAATAGGGAAAGCTGAGGCATAAAAGAGAAATGTCATTTATTCAAGTTTGTCATGGAGGATATCCCACCAATCCCAAGGCACACAATCGTCTCGGGGTGATGACCAGTGTCCAGCATGGGCCAATCTGTCCTCTGCCAAGACGGAGGACACTGGTTACCACAACTACTGCCCCCCTTCCCCCAGGTATCCGTATCTGAAACAGTTGGGATTTTCGTGCGTGGAGCCTGTGATATGCGTCACGAACTGTTCCACCTACAATGGAGACGAGGTAGTAGTCTGCCCAGATACCACAGCACCATAGTCATCAGAGGCAGAGATAGCTGTATCAATCTGTCACGATTACTATCTATTTCAGTCCGCCAACGTCCCGTGATTACCAGACCAACAATCACCGTGCTCTCGTGATACACGGTGGAGCATATAAACCACGTTCACCCCTAAAACGGCCACTAAACAAGTCCAGCAACTCTACCTAAAACTTTTTTCTATTAAACGGTGACAGCATGGAGGCAATCTGTGGAGACTGGATGCTGTGCGGCAGTGACAACCTTACTGCCTACCTGGTCGCTCTAAGTAAGAAACGGTGAATGTATACCTATCTACTTTTATTTATAAGTTCATAGCATAAAGGCAATTTGATTAATCCTCTTAGCTCATGATCAAAGCTCAAGACTATATAGTTTGCCGATGATAATATTAGACGAGCATTAACTTTTTGAGAGACGAAACAATCACCACTGTGATTAGAAAAAGTACGATTGCAAAAAGCGCCTGGAGTCACTCAAGTCTGCGTTGGAATGAGAAAAAAAAAACAGAATTTCCTAAACAAACTAATGCCAAACATTCTAGTAGATCCAAGGACGTTGTATCAAATAAATTTTTCGTTGTCTTAAAAATTGTTGCAAATATAATATCATTGATAAATTTTCATACCACGAGCATAAGAAGCTGCACAAGAATCCTGTTTGTTCTGACCCCGTAAAACGCTGCATTAACTTTCTTCCGTGTTCTGCGACTGTCTTTTATAAGCGCTGTCGAAACAGGATGTCATAATTAAAAAAGTCAAGTTTTGTTTTTAACCACTGGCATTCTTGTTTTTGGATATATATCGGATGTGGTGTGTGTTGAATAATCTGATATACAGACACTTTGTCAAGTTCTCTTTATTGTTTTTGTAATTTTACTCGGGCTTGTACAAATTAATTTTGATGTTAAGACTTCCCTTTTACTAACAAATAGATATATTCTTTCTAGGAAAAAGAACATGAGTTTTTGGTTCGTTGCCAAAATTTTATTTTCTTTCTTTTTTCCTTTTTTTCTTTTTCTTTCTTCTTTTCCTTTCCTTTTTCTTTCTTTCTTCCTTTCATTTTTGTTTTTTTCTTGCGTTCATTCATACTTTCTATTATTCGCAATTTACAAACCAATTCCTTAATTTATTATTGTCTTTTCCAACAGATGTGACAGAAGAAAATATTAAGAAGGTGACCGATGCCCAGGAGGAGGCGTTCAAGAGCGGTGACACCCCCAAGGTCCAGATCAGCAAGGACGGGGACACAATGACCATCAAGTCACACGCCTGGGGGGATAGAGTGACCTCAGCCAAACTTGGTGAAACATTCGAGCACACAGCAATGGACGGCAGGAAGGGAAAGGTATCTACTTCTATTACTCCATGTTAATGTTAGACTATCAGGTTTCCGTACGAATGATTAAGACACAGTGAGATTTGTAGTAAACAAATAACCGTATTTATGTAGTCAAATGTTCAAACACGCAACGAAGCTGGAATTTTGCTAAAAAGTAAATAAGAAATAAGTTCATCATTTATTGAAATGACAAAACTGAACAGGATGCGAAGTTACAAAATGAGTCTATAATAAAACAACATAAAATTAAGTTATCACACATACATCGCTTATACAATGTAGCAAAAAGTTGGCGAAAGGGGAGAACAAGTGATGAGGGTTCAATTTGGAAACGTTAGGCTGAATTATGTTAAAACATTTGTTAAACAACGATAACGCGTTTTAACCCGGTCTTGTGCAGGGTAATCATCACATTAGGATTGATTGAGGGACGGGAACTTATCTCTGTCTTCATTGTTGCACAGATCACAGGCAGATATTATGATCTGATAATAGTGATTATGGATTTCTGCAATAATCCAGACAGAGTCATTAGATTAAACCGTATCAGCATGCCGACCATGTGGTATGCGAATGGATCCTTTTATCTGAAACTGTCACCGAGATGGCGAGAGGGGGATAGGGAGGGGGATGGTGATAGGGATAAAAAGGACAATAGGAATGAGTGCCCGAAAGTTCATCGGTCTAAATATTTATCCGGCCAGAATTTATTGATCGAGAGAGAGATGGAGAGATTCAACATATTTCATATTGCATTTTAGCTCACCTACAGCATGGAAGGCAACACTCTCCTGGAAGTGTTTGAGGGCGAGGGCCTCATCTCAATGAACAGAAGATGGATCCAGGAAGACAAACTGGTCTACGTAAGTATGCTTCTGTTATAATGCGCGAGAAAAAGGATTCACCTTTAAGGATGCGACTGACTACTTCATTCTTTTGCAACTCCTGCGTGTTTGCTGTTCCTGCGTTTATACGCTAGGGGCAGTGACGGATTTGACCATCATTTTATCCAAATACATACGGAATCTTTGATCATACTAATGTCAGCTAAACATCGTCGAAGCTGCCTCTACTTATTTTATTTTTACTGCCAATAGAGCTTGAAATTTACCGGTATCTATTTCAAATGCTCTTTCATTCATTTCAGACGCTGACTGCCAAAGGCATCACAACAACACGCGTGTATAAGAAGCAGTAGTCTTTAGGCCGGTGGCTCCGACTGCATTCTCCCAGTAAATACTAGCTTGCTAATATTGCGAGTGTTGACTGCTTTGATCCTAAAAAGGCAAACAATTGACTTCTGAACAACTTCGCTTAGAGACCCGCGTGAACCTAGAGGATATTTGGCAATCTGTATCTTTATTACAGGAGAAAATGGGCCCTCAATGGACCCTCAAAATTAGAACTTATTTGGAGCAGCTTGATATAGTTAACGTTACAAATATCTATGTTATCGTTGTTTTCATTGCGTAACATTTCGTATGTTTGATAGTCTATGTCTTGTTCTGTTTGTCGTCAAACTAAATGTGATCCACACATAGCAAGTTTAAGGAAAATAAACTACTACAAAAAACATGATGGAGTTATTCACTTAAATATGCTTTCTCTTCGTGGGGAGAAATCAGAATTGAAATATTGAATTGAAAGTAATTTGTCTAAATTGAGAGGTCTGTATTTGAATTTTATATTGTATCTTCACCAAGACAGACAGGGACAGTGATATCAACTTTTTAGAGGGGTTAAGTATTTATTGATAAAATGAGTGCCGGGGGGGGGGGGAAGGGGGGTAGGGGAGGGGGAGTATTTCAATGCACTCTTCTTTACGTTGACAGTTTGATGCATGCTTTCGCTTTGAGAAAACAGCACTGAGTCACTATTACGTCAATGATTTTGACCCAACTGATAATGTACCTAGGTCACAATATACAGTCTAGCCAAAAAAATTATTGAATATGGAAGTAGCAATGAAAAGAGTCCGGCAAACGACTCCGCGTTTTGCCTGCAATGTGTCTGACTTGCCTTTTGTGGCCATATAAACAGAACGGCCCTTTTCCTCCCCCAGTTTCTAAATCCAGGTTGTAAATTCAACAAGTCTTACGACTCAGGGGATCAGCTTTTTTATAAGACAGAAAACCTCTGAAAACCGAAGCAATGCCCTTCTTGAAACTGTTTGTGTGAAAAAGGTCCGGTTTGGCACTGAGACAAGATGTAAATGATACGTACGGTTGAAGCCACGGCCTTGGCGATCCCTTTATCGAAAAAGCAAAATGCCACATCGCCAATCAATCAAGGTTGCATAACGATTTCTTCGTAAAGGGAAGATCTTGCATGTGTTGCTACCAATTAGCATCACAAATCAACCAATCAGAGGCAAGCTTCACAAAATGCAAAAACACAACAGTTCACAAACAGTCTATTTGATATCCCAAAAATATTTTGGATAAACTTACATTTTGAAACAAGGAAGAGTGTGAAAGAAAATAAATATCAATTTTCAGTGCAATCCCATGTCTAGAGACCATATATATATATGTATAACGTCGCCTGTTTCAGATAATATCTACGTCTGCAGACTACTGTACACGATGACCGGGTTTTGGTGCATCGTCGTCTTTGGGGTGATTTTTTCACAAGTAAGAGTATATTTTTGTGAAACCTAGTTTGAAAGCAGCAATTGCCAAAGCACCATTCAGATCCAAAGAAAACATACAATTAGTGAGATCGTGCGTTACAAGTTCTAAAACGTATCATATTAGCGTTTTGACATGCTTTCTGAAATATGCTTTGAAATATTTTTACTAAATTTGCATAGAAAGGCACTTATTGATGAATGCTTAATCACACTAAACATTAACTGTTTTCTAGGGAGCATTTGGAGATGGGGTATCTGTGGAAAGGAAGTAAGTAAGGTTTAATATTTTCTACAGACAAGCTTTGAAAAAGATGATTATGAAATTATATAATCAGAGATACCATTTGTTTATACACCTTCAAAACTGCGTTTTTCACGGTTATTTAAAGACATTGTTGACCTCATCTTTTTATCTAGTAAACGACAGGTCAGTGTGACACGCCAGAGTGTAAGTGTATCTCACTCTGGCAGCTCTGGGCCGTATGATTACAGTGTCGGCGGACATGTCAACTTTAAACCCAAAAGCGTTGGTGTTCACGGTTCACTCACACGTAATTTCGACAATGGTGGATACGTCGGTGCTAGCGGGTACAGAAATGTAGGACAGGGTGAAAGCAGTGGGGTTGGCGTCCACGGAGGGTACACCTCCCCGTCTGGTTTCAGAGTGGGTGGGGAGTTGAGACGAGACTCTAATCCTTACGGCAGTTCCACCTCAGGGAGTGCAGAATTTGGGTACGAAAGTAAAGGAGGTACCAGAGTGTCCGCTTACGGACAGAGAGACTTTCAAACTGGACACACCTCCGCTGGGCTTCGTGTCCGTATACCGTTTCGGTAAGACAGCAGTTCCATGATAATATTTGTCGCTAAAATAATGTACCAGTCGTGTGTGTGTATGGGTGTGAGTGTGTGTGCGTGCGTGTGTGTTTTTTACTGTGTTACGACAAGAACATTTTTAGCCGATTGCATTTGAAAAAGTAGAAAAAGCTTGAGTAGGCGATTATCAAACACTATTAGTATATATATATATATATTTGTTATTTGCTTGAAATAACTGTTTACAGTGCTGTAGGATGTAAGTTATCATTATATTCTTTTTTTGATTTACCAGGCGGAAGAAACGGGACCTGGCAGCTGAAGAAGAGGATCTGGAAGATTTGGACAGAAGGTAAATATGACAAATCAAAAGTTCATGGCAAACGAACATTTTGTTGGAAGAGTAATTACCACAGAAATGTGAAAGTGTCGCGCTCAATCTCAAAATTATAGTCAAATCCTGGTCCAAAATCAGCGACTTATCTTCCAGGAAGCGCCAGACATCAGTAGACGCCCGCGTTCATGGCACTGGAAGACGTGACTACGGTGTTGACGTGGACGTGAACAGAAGGCATGGTAACCACCAGTACAGCGTAGGCGGCTCGTATCAACGTAGTGGTCCGTACAGAGGAACTGAGGTACGAGGAGGCTACAGCTACACCAACAGACGTGGCGTTCGTTTTGGCGTCGGAGGTTATCACCGCAGGGATAACTTTGGTGGCAGAGACACAGGAGTCAGGGCAGGAGTGAGCATTCCATTTGGGTGAGTCTCTGTCATCTTACTCCTTCATTACTGTATCTTAATCATCCCACATGTAGGCCTAGACTCCGATATAAAAGTACGGTATTTTGAGGCGAATCATGAAGTAGAAGTTAGTCTCTCAACGCACGTACCTGTTCCATTATTTAACATAATCCATGTAAGAATTATGGTATGCGAGGTGAGTTCACATATGCCATTGCTTAGCTTGGTGTTTCCATATGTAGGTTGAGGGAGCATTTCTAGGACCCCATTTCCAGAGATTAGATCGATCTACTTTAGATCGACCTAACTCCCTGGGGGTTCACACTAAATAGCTGTCAGCCGTGCGGACACGAAAGTTAATTACCCCCTTACAACTTGTAGTAGGCGGGACGGACATTTAAGCCGGATTATCTGACAGTAATCTAGTGAGACTCCCCGCGGGGATAGATCGATCTAAATGCTCTGGGAATACAGCCTAGGAGTATATATACTCCTAGGCTGTATTCCCAGAGCATTTAGCTGTCATATATATATGGCTGTGTGTCAGTGTGCGTGTATCAAACTGTGACGATATAAGCATTTTATACAGTGCATTTTACAAGAAAGAAAATCTTTAAAAAACATTGATAAAAGTGTTTTTAAACTAGAACCTTGTTTGAAGTACAGTTTACTGTTATGGTTTGATGTCAGTTATAAATTTATTCTTTTCGGTTTAAACAGACGGAAGAAGCGAGATTTGGAAGCTGATGAAGAGGATCTGAATGTCTTGGAAAGAAGGTAGTCTAAATATAAGGTTTGATGTTAAGAAGCCCATGTCCAAATAGGAATTTGTTAAAGCTGCGACCATTCATTTATTAAAAATTATATTTCATAGTAGAAACAAGCGTTAATATGATTTTGTTGAATGACCTCCATGTAGTTTTTAAACGAAATAACCCTTATTAAACAAAGAAAATTTGTTTCAAACAATTGACTTATGATAAACATAACATTGAAAAACTGCAGTAAACAGGAGCGTTTTTCGGCTTTCTTCATGGTTATTCAAAGGCACGGTTGACTTTATACATTATTATTTTTTATCTAGTAAACGACAGAGCAGTGTAAGTGTTACTCACTCTGGCAGCTCTGGGCCGTATGATTACAGTGTCGGCGGACATGTCAACTTTAAACCCAAAAGCGTTGGTGTGCACGGTTCACTCACACGTAATTTCGACAATGGTGGCTACGTCGGTGCTAGCGGGTACAGAAATGTAGGACCGGGTGAGAGCAGCGGCGTTGGCGTCCACGGAGGGTACACCTCCCCGTCTGGTTTCAGAGTGGGTGGGGAGTTGAGGCGAGACTCTAATCCTTACGGCAGTTCCACCTCAGGGAGTGCAGAATTTGGGTACGAAAGTAAAGGAGGTACCAGAGTGTCCGCTTACGGACAGAGAGACTTTCAAACTGGACACACCTCCGCTGGGCTTCGTGTCCGTATACCGTTTGGGTAAGACAGCAGTTCCAAGATTTAGTTATCACGACAATTGTGAACCAGTGTGTGTGTGTGTGTGTGTGTGTGTGTGCGTGTGTGTGTTTCACTGTGTTACGACAAGAACATTTTGAGCCGATTGCATTTTAAAAAGTAGAAAAAGCTGAAGTAGCCAATTATCGAACATTATTAATTTTTTTAATTTGAACGATAAACTTGCTGGAAATAACTGTGTTTACAGTGCTTTAAGATGTAAGTTATCATTATTCTTTATTTTATTTATCAGGCGGAAGAAACGGGACCTGGCAGCTGAAGAAGATGACCTGGAAGTTTTGGACAGGAGGTAAATATGACAAATTAAAAGTTCATGGCAAACGAACATTTTTTTGAAAGAGTAATTGTCACAGACATGTAAAAGTGTAGCGCTCAATCTCAAAATTATAGTCAAATCCTGGTCCAAAAGCAGCGACTTATCTTCCAGGAAGCGCCAGACATCAGTAGACGCCCGGGCCCGTGTCAATGGAAGACGTGACTACGGTGTTGACGTGGACGTGAACAGAAGGTCTGGTAACCACCAGTACAACGTAGGCGGCTCGTATCAACGTAGTGGTCCGTACAGAGGAACTGAGGTACGAGGAGGCTACAGCTACACCAACAGTCGTGGCGTTCGTTTTGGCGTCGGAGGTTATCACCGCAGGGATAACTTTGGTGGCAGAGACACAGGCGTCAGGGCAGGAGTGAGCATTCCATTTGGGTAAGTCTCTGTCATCAAACTCCTTCATTACTATATCTTAATCATCCCACATGTAGGCCTAGACTCCGATATAATAGTACGGTATTTTGAGGCGAATCATGAAGTAGAAGTTAGTCTCTCAACGCACGTACCTGTTCCATTATTTAACATAATCCATGTAAGAATTATGGTATGCGAGGTGAGTTCACATATGACATCGCTGATCTTCGTGTTCCCATATGTAGGTTGAGGGAGCATTTCTAGGAGTATAGCTGTCATATATGGCTGTGTGTCAGTGTGCGTGTATCAAACTGTGACGATATAAGCATTTTATACAGTGCATTTGACAATAGAGAAAATCTTTAAAAAACATTGATAAAAGTGTTTTTAAACTAGAACCTTGTTTGAAGTACAGTTTACTGTTATGGTTTGATGTCAGTTATAAATTTATTCTTTTCGGTTTAAACAGACGGAAGAAGCGAGATTTGGAAGCTGATGAAGAGGATCTGAATGTCTTGGAAAGAAGGTAGTCTAAATATAAGGTTTGATGTTAAGAAGCCCATGTCCAAATAGGAATTTGTTAAAGCTGCGACCATTCATTTATTAAAAATTATATTATATTATATAGTAGAAACAAGCGTTAATATGATTTTGTTGAATGACCTCCATGTAGTTTTTAAACGAAATAACCCTTATTAAACAAAGAAAATTTGTTTCAAACAATTGACTCATGATAAACATAACATTGAAAAACTGCAGTAAACAGGAGCGTTTTTCGGCTTTCTTCATGGTTTTTCAAAGGCACGGTTGACTTTATACATTATTATTTTTTATCTAGTAAACGACAGAGCAGTGTAAGTGTTACTCACTCTGGCAGCTCTGGGCCGTATGATTACAGCGTCGGCGGACATGTCAACTTTAAACCCAAAAGCGTTGGTGTGCACGGTTCACTCACACGTAATTTCGACAATGGTGGCTACGTCGGTGCCAGCGGGTACAGAAATTTTGGAGCAGGTGAAAGCAGCGGCGTTGGCGTCCATGGAGGGTACACCTCCCCGTCTGGTTTCAGAGTGGGTGGGGAGTTGAGGCGAGACTCTAATCCTTACGGCAGTTCCACCTCAGGGAGTGCAGAACTTGGGTACGAAAGTAAAGGAGGTACCAGAGTGTCCGCTTACGGACAGAGAGACTTTCAAACTGGGGACACCTCCGCCGGGCTTCGTGTCCGTATACCGTTTGGGTAAGACAGCAGTTCCATTATAATATTTGTCGCTAAAATAGTGTACCAGTGTGTGTGTGTGTGTGTGTGTGTGTGTGTGTGTGTATCTGTGTTTATGTGTGTGTGTGTTTTATTGTGTTACGACAAGAACATTTTGAGCCGATTGCATTTGAAAAAGTAGAAATAGCTGAAGTAGCCAATTTATAAAATAATATAGACTATAAAACATTATTAATATATTTTTTTAATTTGAACGATAAACTTGCTGGAAATAACTGTGTTTAAAGTGCTGTAAGATGTAAGTTATCATTATATTCTTTTTTTGGTTTTATCAGGCGGAAGAAACGGGATCTGGCAGCTGAAGAAGAGGATCTGGAAGATTTGGACAGAAGGTAAATATGAAAAATCAAAAGTTCATGGCAAACGAACATTTTGTTGAAAGAGTAATTGCCACAGACATGTAAAAGTATAGTGCTCAATCTCAAAATAATAGTCAAATCCTGGGCCAAAATCAGCGACTTATCTTCCAGGAAGCGCCAGACATCAGTAGACGCCCGCGTTCATGGCACTGGAAGACGTGACTACGGTGTTGACGTGGACGTGAACAGAAGGCATGGTAACCACCAGTACAGCGTAGGCGGCTCGTATCAACGTAGTGGTCCGTACAGAGGAACTGAGGTACGAGGAGGCTACAGCTACACCAACAGACGTGGCGTTCGTTTTGGCGTCGGAGGTTATCACCACAGGGATAACTTTGGTGGCAGAGACACAGGCGTCAGGGCAGGAGTGAGCATTCCATTTGGGTGAGTCTCTGTCATCAATTTGTATCTAACATTATCGTATGAAACTGCCTAATAATATAATATAATAGAGCAAAGTTAATTGGAAATCGAAACAGATCTTTTTTTTTCAAAATTGATATAAGAGATCCATTACTTTATGCTCTATACATATCTTACTGTTATGATTTTCATTTCAGAAAACGGTAATGTACTGTCTTGGATAAACGACATTGCTGAGAACGAAAGTGAACTCTGTTTCGCGAATTCTGTCACATATATGAATCGAAATATCAAATTCAATTGGACATTTATTCCTTTTCCTTCATTGTTATCAATCTTCCGTATTTAAAACACGGTGTGATGTATCACTTAAATTGTTTGAATGCACATACAACTGGACATAAGCCTTCTTCACGGAGAAAACATGACACTATTCTTTCATTATTTTGATAAGTTTGGATCTCAAATTTTTTGCTAGAATGATAAAAGAAATATGTTTAAAACCCGTAAAGAACAGCTGCATCAGGGTAAAAATAACACTGTTTAGTCACTTACTCTGTAATTTGTTACTCTTGTTGTCCGTTGTTAAACTAAAAAATAAACAAAAATGTGCATCAGAGAAAGAGAAGTGTATATTTTTTCATTATTTTGAAATTTGGGCTTTCTTACATACTCACTGTCACAAATCTTATGACATGCAGTTTACAGCAATAATGATGAATGCTTAAACCATATTTAATACTGCTAAGATAAAACAAAGAAATGTGAATAATACTGGTAGAGATATAATGAATATCATTTTGAAACGATCTGTATAATATATTTAAAGGCAAATTTTAAATAATTGGCAGTTTAATGTGAAACGATAATTAGACATTCTTCTTGAAATGATGGCAGCAATGAAATATTTGACTGGCAAGACATTGCTTGTGGAGTTTTAAAAATTCATGTGTTTTACTGGTCCTGTTAATGAGGAATACATAGGACCAAATAAATTTTAGACCCCAACTTAATCGTAGGCTTAAGACAAAGTTATACTTGATTTGTTTGTTTGTTATTTTCCATTAACTTTTAACAGTTTTGTGGGCTCTGAAGCTATCGAGCAGTTCAATTTCCAGGTGGAGCCACAACTGATAATAATATCGGTTGATTAATCTTAAAACCACACTTAAAACAATCAACACTAGTCTATAGTCTATAAAGGGCCATTCAGAACAGAAGATCCGAGTATCGACTGATCTAAGAATCAAATATGGTGGACCCTACATGAAGATAGACCGCTCAATCTTGTAATGGTCTCTCCGCCCCTCACACGTCTCCCCACGCGTCCGGAGCCGAGATTTAATTACTGTGCCCCTTCAGGGGCGGTCTTCCTTTCATGTAGGGTCCGCCTTATTTGATCCTTGGACTAGTCGATACTCGGATCTTCTATTCTGAAAGGTCCCTAAGGCACAGCAGGCTGCCATCCTGTGAAAAGCAGTTATGAAAATTTCTGTTTGATCGGAATATTAGAAAATCCATCACATATGGAAGTCAAGACGAATGACGGTCATGTACAAACTTCATAAACCCAGACAGCTTTGCCGCGTGTGGTTTCAGCTGATTATGCATTATCAAGAAAGAAACTATGTGACTTTTTAAATTTTTTATTAGATTAGCATTATAGGCCTACTGATGTCGCTAAACTTATACAGAAAAACAGATCTGCTTTTCTTTCTTCCCAAGGAATATTTTTAATATTTGCTAATATTCGAAAATTTCGAAACTGTTGATCCTGTAAAACCTAGGAGCACAGTTCATAAATGCTGTAACCCAACAGCACAAACTTCTAGGCCTACTTTTCCGTTCTAACACAATCGGAAGCTGTTATGGTCTAATATGTTTTAATACACCGATTCTACACATTAAAATGAACAGTTGTCTAAGCACAATTCACAAAAGAATATATTAGACTATATGCAGATATGTTAACATTCGACGTTGCGCATATTTTATAAACCGTGATATGCTGGCACCGTGATGTACGATGTACCAACATCAGAGTTAATAAAATACATCATGAATAAGAAAATACATTCTATTGACGCCAGTATTTCGGTGTTGTAGTCTTGCTTAAGGACAACCGTTCAATTGAAATACTCAGCTTTTCACCGAAATCAAACAGAAATATATCATACAGTCACTAGACGTCTACGAGAACAGCTATGCCGCTTTGCCGAGTAGAAACCAATGTATCGGGAGATCAGATACCGGCTGACTTCCATGTTAAGCTTACCCAAATACTCTCAAAGGTGCTGGATAAACGAGAAAAAGTAAGTATTAACAAAACAATTGATAAACTCAGGTTTCATTCTGATGCCTTAAAGCATACATCCCTCGTGAAAAAATATACTTGAGGTTGACAACAGAATGTAGGCTTATTTTTGTAAGTATTAATAACGTGCGAATATCATCCCAAAGGGCTGTTATTTTTAAAACTTTCGTTACCAAAANGACGAGACTCTAATCCTTATGGAAGTTCCACCTCAGGGAGTGCAGAATTTGGATACGAAAGTAAAGGAGGTACCAGAGTGTCCGCTTACGGACAGAGGGACTTTCAAACTGGACACACCTCCGCCGGGCTTCGTGTCCGTATACCGTTTGGGTAAGACAGCAGTTCCAAGATTTAGTTATCACGACAATTGTGAACCAGTGTGTGTGTGTGTGTGTGTGTGTGCGTGTGTGTGTTTCACTGTGTTACGACAAGAACATTTTGAGCCGATTGCATTTTAAAAAGTAGAAAAAGCTGAAGTAGCCAATTATCGAACATTATTAATTTTTTTAATTTGAACGATAAACTTGCTGGAAATAACTGTGTTTACAGTGCTGTAAGATGTAAGTTATCATTATTCTTTATTTTATTTATCAGGCGGAAGAAACGGGACCTGGCAGCTGAAGAAGATGACCTGGACGTTTTGGACAGGAGGTAAATATGACAAATCAAAAGTTCATGGCAAACGAACATTTTTTTGAAAGAGTAATTGCCACAGACATGTAAAAGTGTAGCGCTCAATCTCAAAATTATAGTCAAATCCTGGTCCAAAAGCAGCGTCTTATCTTCCAGGAAGCGTCAGACATTAGTAGACGCCCGCGCCCATGTCAATGGAAGACGTGACTACGGTGTTGACGTGGACGTGAACAAAAGGTCTGGTAACCACCAGTACAACGTAGGCGGCTCGTATCAGCGTAGTGGTGCGTACAGAGGAACTGAAGTACGAGGAGGCTACAGCTACACCAACAGTCGTGGCGTTCGTTTTGGCGTCGGAGGTTATCACCGCAGGGATAACTTTGGTGGCAGAGACACAGGAGTCAGGGCAGGAGTGAGCATTCCATTTGGGTGAGTCTCTGTCATCAAACTTCCATTACTGTATCTTAATCATCCCACATGTAGGCCTAGACTCCGATATAGTACATGAAGGACGGTATTTTGAGGCGAATCATGAAGTAGAAGTTAGTATCTCAAGGCACCTGTTTCATTATTTCACATAATATGAATTATGGTATGCAAAGTGAGTTCACATGAGCTTCGTGTTTCCAAATGCAGGTTGAGAGAGCATTTCTAGGAGTATAGCTGTCACTATGGCTGTGTGTCAGTGTGCGTGTATCAAACTGTGACGATATAAGCATTTTATACAGTGCATTTGACAAGAAAGAAAATCTTTTTAAAACATTGATAAAAGTGTTTTTAAACTAGAACCTTGTTTGAAGTACAGTTTACTGTTATGATTTGATGTCAGTTATAAGTATATTCTTTTCGGTTTAAACAGACGGAAGAAGCGAGATTTGGAAGCTGATGAAGAGGATCTGAATGTCTTGGAAAGAAGGTAGACGTAATATGAAGTTTGATGATAAGAAGCCCATGTCCAAATAGGAATTTGTTAAAGCTGCAACCATTCATTTATTAAAAATTATATTTTATAGAAGAAACAAACGTTAATATGATTTTGTTGAATGACCTCCATGTAGTTTTTAAACGAAATCACCCTTATTAAACAAAAAAAATTTGTTTCAAACAATTGGCTTATGATAAACATAATTTTGAAAAACTGCAGTAAACAGGAGCGTTTTTCGGCGTTTTTCATGGTTATCCAAAGGCACGGTTGACCTTATACATTATCATCTTTTTATCTAGTAAACGACAGACCAGTGTAACAAGCGAATGTGTAAGTGTATCTCACTCTGGCAGCTCTGGGCCGTATGATTACAGCGTCGGCGGACATGTCAACTTTGAACCCAAAAGCGTTGGTGTGCACGGTTCACTCACACGCAATTTCGACAATGGTGGCTACGTCGGTGCTAGCGGGTACAGAAATGTAGGACAGGGTGAAAGCAGTGGCGTTGGCGTCCACGGAGGGTACACCTCCCCGTCTGGTTTCAGAGTGGGTGGGGAGTTGAGACGAGACTCTAATCCTTACGGAAGTTCCACCTCAGGGAGTGCAGAATTTGGATACGAAAGTAAAGGAGGTACCAGAGTGTCCGCTTACGGACAGAGGGACTTTCAAACTGGACACACCTCCGCCGGGCTTCGTGTCCGTATACCGTTTGGGTAAGACAGCAGTTCCAAGATTTTACTTGTCGCTATAATTGTGTACCCGAGTGTTTGTGTGTGTGTGTTTCACAGTGTTACGACAAGAAAATTTTGAGCCGATTGCATTTGAAAAAGTATAAAAAATGCTCTAGTAGCCAATTATTATGTAGGCCCTATGATTATATTTTTTAAAAAATTTGAACGAATTTTTGCTTGAACTTACAGCTGTGATTACAGTGTTGTAAAATGTAAGTTATCAATATATTAATTTTTTGGATTTATCAGGCGGAAGAAACGGGATCTGGCAGCTGAAGAAGAGGATCTGGAAGTTTTGGACAGGAGGTAAATATGCAAAATCCAAATTTCATTGCCAACAGACATTTTTTTTGAAGTTGTCATTGTATATTTGTAATTATTCATTCCTCTCTTTGTTTTTGTTCAGTGACCTAGTTATTAAAACGATAAAGCTCCGGAGACACAAAAACAATTTTGTTTCAAATAAATAAACCATATTCAGAAGAAATTATAAACAACGAGTTAACAGCCACCATTTTTTAAATATGTTTTAACGAAATATAAAGATCACGAGTCAAACCACTTCCATGTAGCACTCTTGATCTCAATCACAAAACTATTGTCAAATCCTGGTCCAAAACCAACCTCATCTTCCAGGAAGCGTCAGACATCAGTAGACGCCCGCGTCCGTGGCACTGGAAGACGTGACTACGGTGTTGACGTGGACGTGAACAGAAGGTCTGGTAACCACCGGTACAGCGTAGGCGGCTCGTATCAGCAGGCTGCCATCCTGTGAAAAGCAGTTATGAAAATTTCTGTTTGATCGGAATATTAGAAAATCCATCACATATGGAAGACAAGACGAATGACGGTCATGTACAAACTTCATAAACCCAGACAGCCTTGCGTGTTGTTTCAGCTGATTATGCATTATCAAGAAAGAAACTATGTGACTTTTAAAATTTTTTATTAGATTAACATTATAGGCCTACTGATGTCGCTAAACTTATACAGAAAAACAGATCTGCTTTTCTTTCTTCCCAAGGAATATTTTTAATTCATTTGCTAATATTCGAAAATTTCGAAACTGTTGATCCTGTAAAACCTAGGAGCACAGTTCATAAATGCTGTAACCCAACAGCACAAACTTCTAGGCCTACTTTTCCGTTCTAACACAATCGGAAGCTGTTATGGTCTAATATGTTTTAATACACCGATTCTACACATTAAAATGAACAGTTGTCTAAGCACAATTCACAAAAGAATATACACAGCACAAAAACAAATATTTCCGATTTTTCAGCCTCCGCGGAATGACGTCGGAACAGTGCAAGCTGGCCTTTACAACGCGCGACTGAATGACGTTTTTCCGCGTAGTAGTACCCCTTTCTCTTTTACACGGCCTTTCAACAGGCGTAATCTCGTTCGTCTTTCTTCGCGACTGAACAACGTTTTTCCGCAGGGGTCCTGCCTTGGTATTATGTGACGCAGGAGCGGATTCAGAGATATTTTTGACAGTCTTCCAAATTATCTCTGTTGATCCGTTCTTCATTTTTGACCGTCTTCCGACAGAAAAAAATAGATACCCGTCAATGTAAACTTGAAAATCTGACCGTCTTCCGGAAGACCCAGAAGACGCCCTAAATCCGCCCCTGTGACGGTCGTTATTGGATTGTGACTGACATTTAAGAACATGAGATTTCAATGGAACTGAAAGATTTATATTGTTAATTCCTTTCAAAATTTCATTTAATTATCTTAGGTGTGCTACATGTATATACTGTCGAAAGGCGTGATCATCCCGATCATAAGAACATCTCTCCTGAGGAAGCTTCCCCCGAGGGCTTATCATATTTTGTTATTCATCTTTTCATTTCTCTTTGCGGATTTATCCCTAATAGTTGTATTTGATCTATCAAATCCAGTCCAATTCACAGTCGTCTCAAAAACCATTTTAAATTAATACAGATTGCTTAGAAGTCTATATTTAAAGCATGATCATTATTTCCATAAAATTGCAATGAATTATAATGAATAAGACTTGGTCAAAGGCCATGCTGTTTAATTATTAAAAGTTTGGCCGCGGCCTTGGATATGCAACTCTGGTTGCAGCAACATAACTGACTAGCATTTAACTTGTCGCTTGTACTATAGAAATTGTTAATCACACTTGCGCTTACAAATCTGGATTTTATAGGATACGTTTTAAGGTGTCTCCGGAGTAAAAATCATTTTACTGAAATCATGATACACAGTCAGTGTTTTTTTAATTTTTTATTTTTTCAATTAATAAGGTGTATTAATAAAGATTCCTTAGTCGATCGCGATTTAGACTGCGGCAGTTTAAATAGATCTTAAGTTTATTCACTGATGGACGTAGTGCTTATGCATTGAATCAGCGTGTGCAGTGGTGCAACCAATCTTTAACTAATAAGGGAGTTGGAAGAACCAGCGGGTGACCGTTAATCGTTCTAATATTTAATCAACACTGAGCGGAGAACAAACAAAAAAGGATAAAGATGTGTCACTCCATGCGCTGGTGGCCGGGGAAATTTCAACAAAGCCCGACTAACAACAATGTACGTCACGGTCACCTTCAATATTTCATCCAGCTAAAAGACGAAAACAAAAATACTTTAATACCAATGTTGACTGGAGGTGCATAAGAATTTTTTTTTATGAATAAGTATTGCCCCACAACTGATCGTAGTACATCCCACGATAAGATTTCGCTCGATAGACCATGTCTAGAACCATAAGTAAACCATTAGTTCTTAACTAGCTGTCATAAAAAACCTTGCTTGAAAAACTGAATAACTATAAGACCATTGTTATTTTGCAAGGTTAAGCAGCGATACATATGTTGATATATAGCAAACATTATCAGTATGATGTGCCGTAATACGTATATAACAGGAGTACTTTTTCTATTGATGATGATATCTTGCTCATAGTGGGTGACGAAGAGAAGGGGGGTTTAACCACGTAAGTGAAGAATCACTGCACATTAAACGTGCATCGTGTGTCCCTTTTACGCGGTTTCTGCTAATGAAAATGTATCATATCGCAATATACTGATTTCTTCATAGAAATTCATTTTTCACATGAAAATAAGTAAATCGCCGCAAGTCAAAAACGGCTATTTTGTTTATAAGTTCTGGGCTTTGACAGAGAAGGACAGGCCTGCTTTAGATGACAGCCGGATTCGGTTGTATTTGTATGGGGATTGCTACCAGTAATTAACACAGTTTTCACATGAAGTACCATTGAAACACGACTCATGACTCATGAGCTGAGGTCAGTATAACAAGCAGCATGGTGGCCAATAAGCTATTTAATCTTTTATGTAACCTCTCTCCAACCGCGGTGATGAAGGCTTAAACCAAGTGTTTTGGTTTCTCACTTCTTTGTTTAAGCACAGCCCCCCCCCTCTTTTTTTCAGGACTTGGCAGCTGATGAAGGTCAGTTGTTGACCGAAAAGCGCTTTCTGCAACCAGTCCAACCCCCCTTTTTTTCGTTTCACCAGCCGCACTGTGTGTATCTCGTACAGTCGACCCTTCAGGTCAAACACATACAGAGGCGAGACACCTCTCTCACATCATACTGAGGTGAAACAACAGCCGATAATATTGAATACGGCAATAAATAGTTATCTTACATAATTCGAATCAGAATTATAGACGGACACGTTCTATCACCGCTGTCATCTCTTCACAAACACGTGATAACGCATCTAAAGGGACTTTTATACTTCAATCTAAACTCTAACGTCCCAAAAACAATCTCAAAGCTTTTAACGAGGGGCGCTGTCAAAACACACGTCCCCAGGGGCCCAGTCCTGGATCGTGTTATTTTGATAAGAGTTAGTTGAACTAAGACATGAGCCGACAACCCCTAAACAACGAATATTAAATCGCAACTACAAAGGGGAAGGATGTGGTGTGGTGTGAAGATAGCCACAGAGACAGAGTACAAAGTATATGTACAGGAAAAACGAGAGGATGAAGACAGTAAGTGTTTTTATTCCTTTTGTTATTTTCATAATATTCATTTATTTTCATTTTTAATAATTGATTATCAATGTGTGTTGATAAATTACCAAGTCTTTAATTTTATTACATTCTCCATTTCTGTTGTAATGGTAGGCTACATGCATTCTTGTAATTCTCAATCCTGATACTTGGTCTGAATTTTTTTTAGTCAGACATGCTGTTCCCTTTACCAAGTTATGTTTAATACGTTATTACACATTATATTTTGATATTATTTCGTTATATCTTCACAGAAACCGTTAAGAAGGACACCGCACTGGAAAAAAGGAAAGGGCGATAGCAGCACTGAACAAGGGGAAGACGTTGAAAGGGGCAACGGCAGAAATATCTGACGCGGGGGTCTGCCAGGCTAAAGAAGTGCTCAAGTTGATGTGTGGAAAATAATTTACACGCAAGGGCGATTTGATGTGTGGAAAATAATTTACACGCAAGGACGATTAGAGGCCAAAGTTGTAGATTAGATAATATCACAGTATTCAACAATGTTAATATATCTCCTTTACGGTGATTGATTTTTACTTACTGTTTTTATATATATTGTTATTATAATGAGATCAGTACTTCTTCTATTTGAACATATATTTGTATGTTATTTTGCTGTGATCCCAAGTAAACTTATATGTTTTAATTCAGGCCCAGTCTTGAAAGTCCAATTGGGGAGGGGAATGACCACAGTACGCGGGAAGCTAAAT